TTTGTGTACTGATGATTCTGATGACTGGTTCAGACATATCTTAATGTGAAAGCTAAATTTATATTTGTGTACTGATGATTCTATTGACTGGTTCAGACATATCTTAATGTGAAAGCTAAATTTATATTTGTGTACTGATGATTCTGTTGACTGGTTCAGACATATCTTAATGTGAAAGCTAAATTTATATTTGTGTACTGATGATGCTGTTGACTGATTAACAAGTTTCAACATATGTGTGTTTGTGTATACTGATAATTCTATCAACTGGTTTCAACGTAATAGTTTTCAAACGAGACACCAAACTCAAGCGCTTTCGAGTAGTTTACTATTCTTCTTCAGAACTGGTTTCAACATAGGTGTGTTTGTGTGTACTCTATTAATCGGTTTCAACATGAACATGTTTGTGTATACTGATAATTCTATTAACTGGTTTCGACATGTGTGTGTACGTGTACTGATGGTTTTAGTGGCTGGTTTCAACATACGTACACGCATGCTGAAGATCCCTATAACTGGTTTCGACATGTGTGTGTGCGTGTACTGATGGTTTTAGTGACTGGTTTCAACATACGTACACGCATGCTGAAGATCCCTATAACTGGTTTCGTGTAGAAAGTTTCACGGAAGGAATTTCACATTTTTTTACTTAATACTTCCGATATTTACCTTGCTTTGTTCGATGAAAGCAGGATTTTTAAAATGTCCTTGTTATTGTTTGAGATTATTAAAGGTCAGTGACTCCGCGTATTGGTCCTATTTAATGAACTTTCATGATGGCAAATATTAAAGACCCGATGATAACAGTTCACGGTACTCTTTGCCCTGTTTTCGTTTTTTTTTTTTTTGATTGACAGATGTTTCGTCGATAGGTTGAGTTAGAGAGTAATGTCCGATAACTGTTGACAAAAGTTATTGGGGTCGAGCGTTTTCATGAAAGATATCAACAACTGGTCTTGGGAACTAGTCTATATTTGTTTTTTGTGTTTTTTTCGGACACACAGAAACCGAGGAGTTACAGTACTTTAAAAAATACAAAGTTCGCCTTAAAATGCTATAGTTTCTTATTCATATTTCCAGGAGTCAAAAGGCCTTTTCAGTCAGATACACACATAGAACGAGTCAAAAGGCCTTTTCAGTCAGATACACACATAGAACAAGTCAAAAGGCCTTTTCAGTCAGATACACACATAGAACGAGTCAAAAGGCCTTTTCAGTCAGATACACACATAGAACGAGTCAAAAGGCCTTTTCAGTTCAGATACACACATAGAACGTATATAATAGTAAACGTAGTATCTAACATCGAAGGCTGTGACTGTGTATTTGTTTGTTTGATGTTAAGCGCAAAGTTACACAATGGGCTACATGTGCTGTGCCCACAGCGGGGATAGAAACCCTTTGTTGTTTTTTTTGCGTTATAAGCCTTCACTGAGCCACTAGAGGGCGCTGTGCCTGCAAAGATCAGACTGAGATTGCGAATAAGGACCGTCAGAGAGTTATTAGTAAAATTCTTCGTTGACAGGAATTTGAATCTACTTAAACTAGTTTTTAAAAGCTCAGTGGACAGTGCTTTTCCATAAAACCAACGCTTCTTGTTTTCCGTTAATACTACAAACGTTTATAAAAGGTCATCATTACAATAGATCGAGTTATGTACTCAGCTTTCGAAAGAGAATTCATAAACAAGAACTTACATAATAAAACAACTTTTTGTTCAATTTCCAATCATTTAAACATCGTAAAGGAGCCATCGTTGTATACGTCTCTGAAACGTCATTTTAGGCGCTCACGTGCAAAAAGATCGGGTCACAGTTATAGGCTTCAGGTATAGCCGTTCCTAATTTTGAACTCAGAATTGTAGGAAAGGTGGTCAGCGAGTAGCACAAGTTACCATAAGGTCTCTGTCCGGCTTTGATCCGAATAAAGGGTTTGGCTATTCACTCTTATAACGCACCTACAACTGAAAGTGCGGAACATGTTTTAGCAGCATCTTGGCACGAACCTTAGACCTTCAGATCAGCAGCCCTGCATGCTAACTATGAAATCACTCTTTGCAAATTGTCAAACAAAACTGAGAATCATCCATAAAATAAATATTAAATATCAAAAATTTATATATATTATACAATAAACAATATGAATATAGTTTTAAATATTTTAAAATCTCTTTACTACTTTTTATTACACAAACATAAAAGCATAAATTCTAGATACTCTTCAGTTTCTAAAGTAAGGCTCTCTCTCTCTCTAACAAGACCTACTTAACAATGTAACACTTCCCGTGTTTTTTTTTTGTTTACATTTATAAAGCTTCCAGGTCAATATACGCAATATACGGAACACATTACATACCCTTAGCTTTGAGCACGTTATAAGTATGACAGTCAATCTCGCTATTGGGTTAAGATTATTCGTGTAGACGGCGAGTGCTGATGACTGATTGTTATCCACTTTAAACTTATGCGTCACGACCCTAGAACCTACATACTACACATGTGTATGTTAGGAAACAAAACTTGAATTCAATCGCTTCGCAAGTATTATCCATAAAATAGATAGATTTGTGAGCATTTTCGTGAAAGCATAAAGGATAGTTAAGTTGAAGATTACTAAAGTTGAAATGACTTTCATACATCATGGAAATTACCGACAATTGTTTCATGTAAGTTGGGATGCGAAAATAAGTAAATTCGAGAATTTTGAAATTAAAGTAAGGTAATAATATTTTGGTATTTTATTTCCATTACAAGAACCGATTTTAACAAAATAACATTGAGAGTATTTTGGAAATATTTACATAACCAGCTATATATATATTAACTTTTACCAAACTGGGATTACTATGGAATAAAGGGTATCTTTTAATCCATCACTTCAGATTACGAATTGTCTTAAAAAAGGGAAGAGTGACTTATAAGCCAGATTACCATGGGATAAAGGTTATCCATGATCTAATTTAACATTTTAGGTTAAAAATTTTCCTCTAAAAAGGGAAGAGTGACGTATAAGCAAGATTCACCATGGGATAAAGGTTATCCATGCTCTAATTGAAATTTCAGATTAAGGATTTTGTTTTTAAACTCTAAAACAGCTATTTGTTTTTTGCAACATGGCAGAGTGTTGCCGATTGTCTATTTTCCCTCTGGTGTGTATTTCAAAATTAGGGACAGCAGCAGATAGCCTTGCCATAATTACGGAGTACAGATACCGTTACAACACGCACTCTTCAAAACCTTATATCTGAAATACTGAGATTCAACTTTATGAAAATAAAAACCTTATATCTGAAGTACCGGGTTTCAACTTTATGAAAATAAAAACCTTATATTGAAGTACCGGGTTTCAACTTTATGAAAAA